GTATGCTTGTTTTATGAAACGTTAGTGTTATTTGTGTTTTGCTTCATCAGATAGTTATAAGAGAGGGTCCGAGATGAGAAAGAATGCAAAGGTAGATACATTTGTTAGGCTAGTTTTAGCAACTAAACAATGTGGACTTTAAGTAGCTTAATATGGAAGTAGGTGAGTGTTGTATTGCCAGTCCACTCAATAAATTAATTATATAAAAAGGCTAGAAGAGGAGAGGTGGGAAACATCTTCACTGAGGACTAAAGCATGGGAAACTGCACCAAGCCATCCATGAAAAACAAAATTAAGAAGGTAAGAGAAACATATTTAAAGGTCAGGGCCTGTGTATCGGTGGACTGAGTGTTTGTGCTAATTGTAATATTGAAATGAGTGTGACAGGAATCATACTTTAAGACTTAATAGCTCGTAGATATATTGTAAAGAAAGTAATCAGTATTTCAATAATATAATATTATTATATATTATTATTACACTTCAGTAGTTTAAGGACATGTCAAACAAATGGACTAAACTGTGCTTAATTAGATTATGTCTCAAGTAAAATGTGGCCCCACCCTAAGGGTGTGGCTGAGGTTAAAGGGGCTGGGCCAGAGGTACCAGGGCCCCACCCACCCGGACAAGCAGATGGAGAAAATGAAGTAACTTCTGAGTTTAAGGGGCCTCTGAATGCACTAGTCCAAAACTGCACCATGCTACATAACATCGTTGGACCAGCATGCATCTTCCTAAGACAGGGCTTCGCAAAGTCACAGCTCGTATGTACTTTGAAAAAACTAAAATCAAAGTGTCTCCACATCTACATTCTCCCATGTATTAGTCCAAAAGATCACATCATCTCAGCCATTTCAGCAGTTTTCTCATCATCATTGTGAATCATCTACATTTCACTCCCTCCACTAGTTTGTTGTAAAAGATCATGTGGACAGTTGAAAGAAATTTAATTCTTTATGTAACCTTAAGGTGGTAAAAAAAAAAGCTGTTTGCAGGTGTGTTAGGTTAAAACATTTTTGTTTGGCAGCCATAAAACTATGCTACCACTCAGTAGTTGGGGAACTTTCAGATTTTTTAATGTTTTGAAAGAAGTCTCTTATGCTCACCAAGGCCACGTTTAATTGACTGAAAATACAGTAAATTATACAGTTAAATTGTAAAGCTATGAAATTTTCACCAGGAATTACTCCAGTCTTAAGTGTCACATGATCTTAATATATTTATTGCTCAAGAAACATTTATTATCAATGTTGAAAACAGTTTTCATACATTTTTGATACATTTTTTTCAGGATTGTTTATGTGTGTGTGTACTGATACACATGTATATATAACAGTTGCTTCTGGTCCTTGAATCTGATTGGCTTTCATTTTTACATAAGTATATCTGTTACGGTAAATGACAGTGGAATATTATTTCACCCATATTTTGACATTTTATTTTCAAAAAAGTTATTAGAAACATTATATATATATACTGGATATATTAGTGCTGTCAAACGATTAATCGCGATTAATCACATGCA